GATGAGGTGTCTGACTTCAAGAAGTTTCTAGTGTAGATCATAAGGGCATTAGGACTCATCATGGTATGCTACAGTGTTTGGGAATTTTTTCTAACAAAATTCTAAGTGGGTGCTATATATCTCTATATATATACAACATCATACATATATATGTAGTTATATAGATATATAATATATAATTAGATACTTATACTATATAAATATAACCATAGTATATATATTTATGTATATTAGATGTGCTCTGGTTGAAGCCAGAGCAAGGGGCCTTTCTTCCCCTCCCTCCTCTTTTGGCTCAGGGGCTCTTGAGGCACCACAGGATTCCAGTGCCCTTTGAAACAGGTTGAAAAGAACTGGCATCATTGAGAAAAAAGGACTTGACTTGATGTCAAAAAACCTCTCCAGAGTGTAAAGTCCTGTGCCCCCATTTACCAGCTATATTACCTTTGATCAGTTTTTCTAGCTCAGCATCAGTTTATTCATCTATAAATGTGGATAAAAATAATGTCTAAATCTTAGAATTGTGGTAAACACTAAATAAGATGATGGATGGAATCCCCAAAAAGCCATTAATAGGACTAGGAGAAGTGCCCCTGAGACTAGAGCTAGTACGATTTGAGCCTAGCTAATCACAGCTACCTGGCAGCAGTCCACCTTAGAAGGTAGACTTTTGATTCAGAACCTGGAGACACGTATCATCAATCCCTCCATATTTCTGACATTTCTTGGTTTTATGATGCTTACCACATTGCTTTGAGGAAATCTTTAGGAAAATACAAGTCATCAGGAATTAAGATGTGTCTGGGACGCCTGGGTGGCTCAGTCATTAAGCGTCTGCCTTCAGCTCAGGTCATGATGCCGGGGTCCTGGGATCGAGCCCCGCATCGGGCTCCCTGCTCCGAGGGAAGCCTGCTTCTCCCTCTCCCCCTCCCCCTGCTTGTGTTCCCTCTCTCGCTGTCTCTCTCCCTCTTTCAAAATATAAATAAAATCTGTAAAAAAAAAAAAAAAAAAAAAGGAAAATGAAGGTTCCGCGTATTAAACAAGAACTACTACTACTAGTACTCTCTCTTCCTCCTTAGACTCCGGCCGTAAGACTGTGACAAGCCGTTCTCTCAGTGACAGGGTCTTTTGTCAGGGTTCGAGCACTTGTCAGCACAACCAGTGCACAGCCCCACCTTCCGCAGAGCCAGGACAGCTCTTTGGAGTTCCCCTCATGGATGTGTGTGATAAAGACAACCTGCCCTTCCCAATTCTGGTAGGTCATCTCCTTTTGGTCTTCTAGAGCCCTCCTGAGGAGGGGAAACTCTGAGAGGCCACGTGTCCTCATCCAAATCTATCCCCAAATGGAGAAGTCATTAGACGGCCCCTGGCTTTGGCTGAGAAGCTCTGTTACTGTTATTTCAAGGAACAGAATCTGACTTAGGTCCAGCAGAGTCATGAGGCAAATACAACAGGAAAAGACATTCTTGTCCATTCCACTTGGGTTTTGTTTCCGCAAAGACCCACCGAGGCCTGTTCAGATCAGTCAAAATGACTGTGTGTATGTGAGTCTCTGAGAGTCCACCTCATCTTCACACTCTCCCTTCATTGCCTTCCTGCACTCACATGAGTCTCAAGTCTCCTTCAACGGAGTCTACTCAGTCTAACAACTGCAAACATCTGACACGAGCATAGACTCATCCTCTGGCAAATAGGAATCTGTTAATCCTAACAGAATATGTCAAATGAAAGCCACAGAGTTTGGCCTGTGTTGTCTCAAACTGCTGTAGTGAATTGTCAGTGTGGACCTTCACTGAGTATTCGGTGTCTCTGCAAGCACTGTACGGGATGTAGGGAACGTTCTCCTAGCTATGAAGAAATGTATCATATTAGCTACTTTGTTACCTGCTAGCTACTACCCCAGGTCCTTGCATCACAGCAAATTTAGGGGCTAGCTAGGATTATCATCCTCCACACTTCCTAACCGAATCAGAGAAGCCTCAGTACAGGATGTAAGTGACCCAGCTCACACAATAGATAAGTAGCATAATAGACTTCAGATCCGTTGGATTCCCTGAGTCCAGCCCTTATTAAGATTCTACACAGCAGAAAGAGGACATGAAGATAGAGCAAAAGACATTTTAAGACTCATGAGAAGGGAGGGTAATCAGAGAAGGAGAAGAGAGTTTCTGAGCCTGACTTTAAAAGAGGGAAGGAAATAGAACAAGTAGGAAAGGAGTATACAGTCACTTAAAGAGAAATAAACAAATGGGAAATGAGTATTCCCTAAATAGACTTCCATACTTGGGGAAGAGCATCTACGTAGGGGAATAATGAGAAAAGAATGGTAAAGTAGGAAACAGACGGTGATTCCGCAAAGGCCTTGAAGCAGAGAAGTTTGATTTAAGAGTGGAAACTCAATGGAAAGGAAAATCTGATTAAAAGAAGTGTTTAAAATGTTTCAGTGTATGACTGTAAAATGGATATTTCGGTAGAAAGTATATAGAGAGACACTGAAAAAAAAAAAAAAAACAACATTCTAAATTGACTTTGGTCCTTCCCGCTCTAAAACAGTGTACCATTACATTCCCCTCCTCTTTCAAAACGGAGGCAAGCTTATGCTCTGCGTTTGTGGATATGAGATGCCATATACTTTTCTTTTCTTCCTACAGGCTATGCTTTCCTTTATTAATCAAAAAGGGCCCCTCACAGAAGGCATATTCAGAAACTCAGCCAATATAAAATCCTGCCATGTCCTAAAGGAGAAACTAAATTCTGGGGTCAAAGTGAACCCGTACAGCGAATCTGTTCATGTGGTCGCATCCGTCTTAAAGGTAGGGAAGGTTCTAGCATTATCCACACACGAGTAACTGAAGCTATGATTGGTGTCCTTCATCATGACTGCTCAAGAACCATAACGGGCATAATAGATTAAGAACCTGACAAGCTGAAAAACGCTTGACAAAATCAAAATGTAAGGAAGCTACTTTAGGAGTTAAAAGCCCCATGTGTTAGAAATACTTTCCGTTTTCACTACACACCGCCCTCCCCACCTTCACTCCTGAAGACTCCATGCAAAATACTAATACTGAAATGACTACTAGTCATGATAATAAATTTCAAAATACGCACCGATACATACACACAGTTTACCCATGAAAACATCCTCACCACCCTCCTAATGAAGGCAAACTTTCCAAAAGAAATAGAACAGGGAAAGGATTTAATCCATCCACCTTGGCACTTATGAACAGCTCTGAACAACCCTATGTTAACGTGGTAAATGACTACAGTCATAGAATCTCAGTCACATTTGGTCTTCCCTTGTCCCCCGTTAATGTTCGAAGATGGGATCAATAGCAAGGTCCAGAAATGACTTAGGTAACCACTCCTACACTGGGGCCGTAGTGATATCCAGTAGTAATATACATACAGGCATCAGGAGACAGGAGAACAATGATGATACACTAGGTAGCAAGATGAGTGTTGCCCTCTGTAAGTTGCACACATGGAATCGATTTTCTAGCAAGAGTTAGGAGGTTCTTTCCTGATTCCGTGTTATAAGCACCGACTACGAAGAGGGTGAGCACTTGTGGGGAGAGTGCTTAGACATTTTTAAAGTTTTCTCTTCCTGAAGTTGACGGATCTTGGTGGAGAATCAGACTCTGCAACCTTGGCCTTATTAATATCATGGCAAACTAACTGGACAATTGTCCTAAACTAGAAATGAATCTATCCTCAGGACCACAGTGAGTCTGCCATTAGACTCTCGACTTTTAGACAGTTAAGAAAAGGAAGAATGAAGCAATTGTGAGAGTAGCTTTCTTCCAGGGAGCACGCATACCCTGAGTGAGAAGACCTACTTCTTTCCTAATATGTGTGGAAGAGCCCACCTGTTTGTGTTTTGATTGTTTCAGGCCTTTTCTTGCTAGAGTTAAGAGCTAGCACCTTGTCTAAAACAAGCAACATGGGTATGTGTATTTCTGTCCAGGAAGCTAATAGGATTTAGGATGGTCTATAGCCAGACCCTGTCAGTTTGTGGTACTTTGCAAAAAAAAAGCACACGCACAAAATAAGTTCCAGATGATAGAAGGGAGCTTTATCTTCATTTCCACTACAGGCTAAGCTCTGCTTTTTGCCTCTAAGTTTTAGCGGGAGAAAATCCAAGCACCTGCTCCTGCGTGTGCAAGTCAATGGAGAGTCAGAGCCGAGCTCCGTGTGGGTCCCAGTTTGGGTATCTGTGAAGGAAGTGGGGGCTGAACTAAATTTTTTAACTACATATTTTCTCTGGAATATTTCCAATACATAGTTTCTATAGTATATACAGATATATATATATTTTTTTTATCTCCCTAAGGACTTTCTGAGAAATATCCAAGGAAGTATATTTTTATCTGACCTCTATGACAAATGGCTCGGTGTTATTGATCAAGGCAACAAAGAGGAAAAGATAACTGCAGCCAAGAGGTAATGGTGCCATAATTACTCTACTCTGGTCACATCTCCAAAATACAGCCAACATACTATTAGGAAAACATTGGCTTACGTTTTGCAGCTTTGCCCACTATAATCATGACCAACGCCAAAGAGTTTCAATTCTTCACACCCATGGGGCCCAACTTCAGAATAGAGGCACGCTTTAGGGCTATTATTGTTCTTCTCCTGATCTTATTAATCTGGACTCCTTGGCCGTTTGACACCTTCTGGATCCATGAAACTTGTAGACGAAATTCCCTGGTTCAAGACACATGCAAGAGCATCAACTGCCAGGGGTATGACCTTAAAAGTCTGTCAAACATTTAACTAACCAGAGAAGTGTTTATCTGGCTCAGGAACTGAATTCAGTGCAACAATTTTGTCTACATTCATGCCTGGAACTCTGCTAGAGCGGGTTGTGTGCTAGATATACAAGGATGTATCCTGTTCCCTGTCTCTGTTTTTCCAACCTCCTAAGTGGAATCACTTGCCTAATTTAAAAGTGTGTTTTTCTGACCTTAGGCTTTTAGCCCAGCTGCCAAGAGCAAATGTTGTTCTCTTGCGATACCTTTTTGGAGTGCTATACAACATTGAGCAACATTCCTCATCCAATCAGATGACAGCTTATAATTTATCCGTTTGTATGGCCCCAAACGTTCTTTACCCACCTGATTCCGGCACCTTGGAATTGGAATACAACTTGATAAGAAAGGTAATGAGAGCTCTCATTTTTGTCCCCCAGGGGGTAGAATCCCTACTTTGAACCGGACATGTGCAGTAGTAACTCTGACGGATGGAACTTTGTGAAGTGCACATTTTCATTAGGCCCCTGTGGAGTGGCAGAGTTCTTTATGCTACTCTGGCGGGGTCTGGGAAGGGGTGTCGTTAAACGGGAAACTCGGAGCAGTCGAGTCACTTCTTCCCCCTCCAGGAGACTAAACACTAGACTGACTAAAGGAGAGAGAGAAGAGTCATGTGATACGATAGAAAAGAACCTGGGCTTTGGAGCTTCACCAGTCAAGGTTCAACTCTCAGCCTAATCCCTGAGGGAGTCGTAACCTTGGGCAAAGCCATGGTTTCCTCACTACACAATGGCGACAACAGCCAGCTCCTCCGGTCATCACTGGCACATCCTGGGTGGCTTGGGCAATATGAGCCCCCATGGCTCCAAACACATTTGCCTTCCTCTGCCAATTGTGGCTCATCTAGAAAAGTACTCGGCTACTATTTCACCTCTGCTACGTCATATAGAAACTAGCAACAGATTCCAGAATATCCTAATAAGATGACAGGTCTTCCCCAAGCTCACCCAGAGAGAGCCAGCATGAGGCAAAGCAATGCGTGAGAAGGGACTGAAGTTAGACAGACAGATACGTTTTCTCTCCAGCTGTGTGGGTTTTCCCTCACAACCCCACCAAAATCCCTGCTTCCCAACTTTATGATACTTCTTAATTTAAGAAATGGTTTTCTTAAGTTGTCGTTCATACTTTATAAAATTTCATAAGATGGTATATATCAGTTACAGCTCAGTAAAACTGGAAACAAAATTTAAAAGCAAAAAATAAGTAAACTTTAATAAGGTAGGCTACTTTGAAAATTATCCTTGTTTATTTATATTTTGATATGTATTTATTTGAGAGAGGGAAAGAGAGAGCGTGAGCGGGGCAGGGGCAGAAGAAGAGGGAGAGGGAGAGGGAGAAGCCCAAGCCCATTCCCCGCTGATCACGGAGCCCAAAGTTGGCTCCATGTAGGGCTGGATCTCACCACCATGAGATAGTGATCTCCGCCGAAATCAAGAGTCAGACGCCCAACAGAGGGGCCCCGAAATTTATCCTAGGCTTAAAGACGTAACCACTGATCCCAAAATGTTAGCTCTTAAACTAGGCCACGTATTATAACCTTAGCCCACGGATGGGCAGTATTTTAAAATGTGTACCCAAAGTACACGGGAAAGTATCACTCTTTCTAAGTTATTTCTGAGAGAACTCTGGTTTCTATGTGTTTCTGTTTTTTTGTGTTTTTTTTAAACTTTTATTTATTTACTTGACTGAGAGAGACACAGCGAGAGAGGGAACACAAGCAGGGGGAGTGGGAGAGGGAGATGCAGGCTTCGCGCTTAGCAGGGAGCGCGATGTAGGGCTGATCCCAGCACCCTGGGATTATGACCTGAGCCGAACGCAGATGCTTAACCGACTGAGCCACCCAGGCGCCCCTGGTTTCTACATATTTTTATCAACTCTGAATTTTTCTGAGAAGTCCTTCCCATTTTTTCTTAGATCCAAGGTCTGTATACAAAATGTGATTTATAACTATGCCCTATGGAAAAGAGCACCCCATTCTTGTCTTTTTGTGTTACAGATTTGTTTTGTACAATTTCTCATTGAAAATTGCCTCAGGATATTTGGAGAAGACATCACTTCCCTCTTGGGCGAGAACTCAATGAGTCGTGCTAACAGCGAGAAGGCTGCAGGTACCGGGAGAAATTTAATTGGCTTTAGTGAGAAGCAGAGAGCAAGGTTACCAGGGGTCATGGGAGATGCTTAGACAGAGCTGTTCTGGAGCACAGAGCATCGCCAGGGCAAGGATTTCCATGTGCTCCTTCTTCCGAAGGCTGGCTCACAGGTCAAGGGAGGTTCCACACTGTTGTGAGACCAAAGAAAGGATAAGATGAGGTGTCTGACTTCAAGAAGTTTCTAGTGTAGATCATAAGGGCATTAGGACTCATCATGGTATGCTACAGTGTTTAGGAATTTTTTCTAACAAAGCTCTAAATGGGTATAACATCATACATATATATATAGTTATATATATATAATGAGATACTTATACTATATAAATATGTAATCAATATATATATATATTTATGTATATAAGATGTGCTCTGGTTGAAGCCAGAGCAAGGGGCCTTTCTTCCACTTCCTCCTCTTTTGGCTCAGGGGCTCTTGAGGCACCACAGGATTCCAGTGCCCTTTGAAGCGGGTTGAAAAGAACTGGCATCATTGAGAAAAAAGGACTTGACTTGATGTCAAAAAACCTCTCCAGAGTGTAAAGTCCTGTGCCCCATTTACCAGCTATATTATCTTTCGCCAGTTATTCCAGCTCAGCATCAGTTTATACATCTCTAAAATGTGGATAAAAATAATGTCTAAATCTTAGAATTGTGGTAAACACTAAATAAGATGATGGATGGAATCCACAAAAAGCCATTAATAGGACTAGGAGAAGTGCCCCTGAGACTAGAGCTAGTACGATTTGAGCCTAGCTAATCACAGCTACCTGGCAGCAGTCCACCTTAGAAGGTAGACTTATGATTCAGAACCTGGAGACACGTATCATCAATCCCTCCATATTTCTGACATTTCTTGGTTTTATGATGCTTACCACATTGCTTTGAGGAAATCTTTAGGACAATACAAGTCATCAGGAATTAAGATGAGTCTGGGGCGCCTGGGTGGCTCAGTCATTAAGCGTCTGCCTTCAGCTCAGGTCATGATCCCGGGGTCCTGGGATCGAGCCCCGCAACGGGCTCCCAGCTCTGAGGGAAGCCTGCTTCTCCCTCTGCCCCTCCCCCTGCTTGTGTTCCCTCTCTCGCTGTCTCTCTCCCTCTGTCAAAATATAAATAAAATCTGTAAAAAAAAAAAAAAAAAGGAAAAAGAAGGTTCAGCGTATTAAACAACAACTACTACTAGTACTCTCTCTTCTTCCTTAGACTCCGGCCCTATGACTGTGACAAGCCGTTCTTTCAGAGCCAGGGCCTTTTGTCGGGGTTGCAGCACTTGCAGGCACACCCAGTGCACAGCCCCACCTTCCGCAAAGCCAGTACAGCTCTTTGGAGTTTCGCTCATGGATATGTGTTATAAAGACAACCTTCCCTTCCCAATTCTGGTAGGTCATCTCCTTTGGTCTTCTATAGCCCTCCTGAGGAGGGGACACTCTGAGAGGCCACGTGTCCTCATCCAAATCTATCCTCAAATGGAGTAGTCATTAGACAGCCCCTGGTTTTGGCTGAGAAGCTCTGTTACTGTTATTTCAAGGAACAGAATCTGACTTAGTTCCAGCAGAGTCATGAGGCAAATACAACAGGAAAAGACATTCTTGTCCATTCCACCTGGGTCTTGTTTTCACAAAGACCCACCGAGGCTTATTCAGATCAGTCAAAATGGACTCTGTGTATGTGAGTCTCTGAGAGTCCACCTCATCTTCACACTCTCCCTTCATTGCCTTCCTGCACTCACATGAGTCTCAAGTCTCCTTCAGCGGAGTCTACTCAGTCTAACAACTGCAAACATCTGACACAAGCATAGACTCATCCTCTGGCAAATAGGAATCTGTTAATCCTAACAGAGTATGTCAAATGGAAGCCACAGAGTTTGGCCTGTGTTATCTCAAACTGCTGTAGTGAATTGTCAGTGTGGACATTCACTGAGTATTCGGTGTCTCTGCAAGCACTGTGCGAGATGTAGGGAACGTTCTGCTAGCTATGAAGAAATGTATCATTTTAGCTAGCATGTTACCTGCTAGCTACTACCCCAGGTCCTTGCATCACAGGAAATTTAGGGGCTTGCTAGGATTATCATCCTCCGCACTGCCTAAAGGAATCAGAAAAGCCTCAGTACAGGATGCATGTGCCCCAGCTCACACAATATATAATTAGCATAATAGACTTCAGATCCATTGGATTCCCTGAGTCCAGCCCTTATTAAGTTTCTACACAGCAAGGAAAGGATATGAAGTTACAGCAAAAGACAATGAAAGACTCATGAGAAGGGAGGGTAATCAGAGAAGGAGAAGAGAGTTTCTGAGCCTGACTTTAAAACAGGGAAGGAAATAGAACAAGTAGGAATGGAGTATACAGTCACTTAAAGAGAAATAAACAAATGGGAAATGAGTATTCCCTAAATAGACTTCCATACTTGGGGAAGAGCATCTATGTAGGGAATAATGAGAAAGAAATGCTAAATTAGGAAACAGACGGTGATTCCCCAAAGGCCTTGAAGCGGAGAAGTTTGATTTAAAAGTGGAAACTCAGTGGACAGGAAAATCTGATTAAAAGAAGTTTTTAAACTGTTTCACTGTATGATTGTAAAATGGATATTTGGGTCAAAACTATATAGAAAGACACTGAAAAAAAGAAACCAATCTAAATTGACTTTACTCCTTCCCACTCTAAAACAGTGTACCATTATATTCCCGTGCTCTTTCAAAATGCAGGCAAGCTTGTGCTCTGCGTTTGTGGATATGAGATGCCATATACTTTTCTTTTCTTCCTACAGGATATGCTTTCCTTTATTAATCAAAAAGGGCCCCTCACAGAAGGCATATTCAGCAAATCAGCCAATATAAAATCCTGCATGGTCCTAAAGGAGAAACTAAATTCTGGGGTCAAAGTGAACCCGTACAGCGAATCTGTTCATGTGGTCGCATCCGTCTTAAAGGTAGGGAAGGTTCTAGCATTATCCACACACGAGTAACTGAAGCTATGAGGCACACTTTAGTCCTTCAACAAGACTCCTCAAGAACCATAAAGGGCATAATAGATTAAGAACCTGACAAGCTAAAAAACCCTTGAGAAAATCAAAATTTAAGGAAGCTACTTTAGGATTTAAAAGCCCCATGTATTAGAAATACTTTGTTTTCACTACACACCGCCCTCCCCACTTTCACTCCTAAAGACTCCATGCAAAATACTAATACTGAAATGACTACTAGTCATGATAATAAATTTCAAAATACGCACCGATACATACACACTGTTTACCCATGCAAACATCCTCACCCCCCTCCTAATGAAGGCAAACTTTCCAAAAGAAATAGAACAGGGAAAGAATTTAATCCATCCACCTTGGCACTTATGTACAGCTCTGAACAACCCTATGTTAACGTAGTAATGACTACAGTCGTAGAATCTCAGTCACATTTCGTCTTCCCTTGTCCCCCGTTAATGTTCGAAGATGTGATCCATAGCAAAGTCCAGAAATGACTTAGGTAACCACTCCTACACTGCGGTCATAGTGATATCCAGTAGTAATATACATATAGGCATCAGGAGACAGGAGAGGAATGATGATACACTAGGTAGCAAGATGAGTGTTGCCCTCTGTAAGGTGTACACATGGAATCCATTTTCTAGCAAGAGTTAGGAGGTTCTTTCCTGATTCCGTGTTATAAGCACCGACTAGGAAGAGGGTGAGCACTTGTGGGGAGAGTGCTTAGACATTTCTAAACTTTTCTCTTCTTGAAGTTGACGGATCTTGGTGGAGAATGAGACTCTGCAACCTTGGCCTTGATACTATCATGGCAAACTAACTGGATATTGTCCTAAACTAGAAATGAATCTATCCTCAGGACCACAGTGAGTCTGCCATTGGACTCTCGACTTTTAGACAGTTAAGAAAAGGAAGAATGAAGCAATTGTGAGAGTAGCTTTCTTCCAGGGAGCACGCATACCCCGAGTGAGAAGACCTACTTCTTTCCTAATATGTGTGCCAGAGCCCACCTGTTTGTGTTTTGATTGTTTCAGGCCTTTTCTTGCTAGAATTAAGAGCTAGCAGTGTGCCTAAAACAAGCAACATGGGTATGTGTATTTCTGTCCAAGAAGCTAATAGGATTTAGGATGGTCTATAGCCAGACGCTGTCAGTTTGTGGTACTTTGCAAAAAAAGCACACATACAAAATAAGTTCCAGATGATACAAGGGAGCTTTATCTTCATTTCCACCACAGGCTAAGCTCTGCTTTTATGCCTCTAAGTTTTAGCGGGAGAAAATCCAAGCACCTGCTCCTGCGTGTGCAAGTCAATGGAGAGTCAGAGCCGAGCTCCGTGTGGGTCCCAGTTTGGGTATCTGTGAAGGAAGTGGGGGCTGAACTGAATTTTTTAACTACATATTTTCTCTAGAATATTTCCAATGCATATTTTTCTATAATATATACACATATTTTTTTTTATCTCCCTAAGGACTTTCTGAGAAATATCCAAGGAAGTATATTTTTATCTGATCTCTATGACAAATGGCTCGGTGTTATTGATCAAGGCAACAAAGAGGAGATGATAACGGCAGCCCGGAGGTAACGATGCATAATTACTCTACTCTGGTCACATCTCCAAATAATACCCAACATACTATGAGGAAAACATTGGCTTACATTTTGCAGCTTTGCCCACTATAATCATGACCAACGCCAAAGAGTTTCAATTCTTCACGCCCATGGGGGCCAGCTCAGAATAGAGGCACACTTTAGGGCTATTATTGTTCTTCTCCTGATCTTATTAATGTGGACACCTTGGCCGTTTTACACCTTCTGGATCCATGAAACTGGTAGACAAAATTCCCTGGTCCAGGACAGATCAAGAGCAACAACTGCCAGGGCTATGACCTTAAAAGTCTGTCAGACATTTAACCAACCAGGCAAGTGTGTATCTGGCTCAGGAACTGAATTCAGTGCAACAATTTTGTATACATCCATGCCTGGAACGCTGCTAGAGCGGGTTGTGTGCTAGATATACAAGGATGTATCCTGTTCCCTGTCTCTGTTTTTCCAACCTCCTAAGTGGAATCACTTGCCTAATTTAAAAGTGTGTTTTTCTGACCTTAGGCTTTTAGCCCAGCTGCCAAGAGCAAATGTTGTTCTCTTGCGATACCTTTTTGGAGTGCTATACAACATTGAGCAACATTCGTCATCCAATCAGATGAAAGCTTATAATTTATCCGTTTGTATAGCCCCATGCGTTCTTTACCCACCTGATTCCGAAAGCTTGGAATTGGAAGACAACATGATAAAAAAGGTAATGAGAGGTCTCATTCTTGTCCCCCAGGGGGTAGAATCCCTTCTTTGAACCGGACATGTGCAGTAGTAACTCTGACGGATGGAACTTTGTGAACTGCACATTTTCATTAGGCCCCTGTGGAATGGCAGAGTTCTTTATGCTACTCTGGCGGGGTCTGGAAAGGGGTGTCGTTAAACGGGAAACTCAGAGTGGTCGAGTCACTTCTTCTCTCTCCAGGAGACTAAACCTAGACTGACTAAAAAAGAGATAGAAGAGTCGTGTGATACGATAGAAAAAACCTGGGCTTTGGAGCTTCACCAGTCAAGGTTCAACTCTCAGCCTAATCCCTGAGGGACTCGTAACCTTGGGCAAAGCCATGGTTTCCTCACTGCACAATGGCGACAACAGCCAGCTCCTCTGGTCATCACTGGCACATCCTGGGTGGCTTGGGCAATATGAGCCCCCATGCCTCCAAACACATTGGCCTTCCTCTGCCAATTGTGGCTCATCTAGAAAAGTACTCGGCTACTATTTCACCTCTGCTACATCATACGGAAACTAGGAAGAGATTCCAGAATATCCTAATAAGATGACAGGTCTTCCCCAAGCTCACCAAGAGAGCCAGCATGAGGCAAAGCAATGCGTGAGAATGGACTGAAGTTAGACAGACAGATACATTTTCTCTGCAGCTGTGTGGGTTTTCCCTCACAACCGCACCAAAATCCCTGCTTCCCAACTTTAAGATACTTCTTCATTTAAGAAATGGTTTTAAGTTTTTGTTCATACTTCATTAAGTTTCATAAGATGTTATACATCAGTTACAGCTCAATAAAACTGGAAACAAAATTTAAAAGCAAAAAATAAGTAAACTTTAATAAGGTAGGCTACTTTGAAAATTATCCTAGTTTTATTTATTTTTTGATATGTATTTATTTAAGAGATGGAAAGAGAGAGGATGAGTGGGGCAGGGGCAGAGGAAGAGGGAGAGGGAGAAGCCTAAGCCGATTCCCCGCTGAACACGGAGCCCAAAGTTAGCTCCATGTGCGGCTGGATCTCACCACCATGACATCGTGATCTGCGCCGAAATCAAGAGTCAGACGCCCAACTGAGGGGCCCAGAAATTTATCCTAGGCTTAAAGATGTAACCACTGATCCCAAAATGTTAGCTCTTAAACTAGGCCACGCATTATAACTTTAGCCCACTGATGAGCAGTATTTTAAAATGTGTATCCAAAGTACACGGGAAAGTATCACTCTTTCTAAGTTATTTCAGAGAGAACTCTGGTTTCTATGTGTTTTTGGGTTTTTTTGTTTTTTCCTTAAACTTTTATTTATTTACTTGACTGAGAGAGACACAGCGAGAGACGGAACACAAGCAGGGGGAGTGGGAGATGGAGAAGCAGGCTTCACGCTGAGCAGGGAGCCTGATGTAGGGCTGATCCCAGCACCCTGGGATTATGACCTGAGCCGAACGCAGACGCTTAACCAACTGAGCCACCCAGGCGCCCCTGGTTTCTACATATTTTTATCAACTCTGAATTTTTCTGAGAAGTCCTTCCCATTTTTTCTTAGATCCAAGGTCTGTATAGAAAATGTGATTTATAACTATGCCCTATGGAAAAGAGCACCCCATTCTTGTCTTTTTGTGTTACAGATTTGTCTTGTACAATTTCTCATTGAAAATTGCCTCAGGATATTTGGAGAAGACATCACTTCCCTCTTGGGCGAGAACTCAATGAGTCGTGGTAACAGCGAGAAGGCTGCAGGTACCGGGAGTAATTTAATTGGGTTTAGTGAGAAGCAGACAGCAAGGTTACCAGGGGTCATGGGAGATGCTTAGACAGAACTGTTCTGGAGCCCAGAGCATCGCCAGGGCAAGGATTTCCATGGGCTCCTTCTTCCGAAGGCTGGCTCACAGGTCAAGGGAGGTTCCACACTGTTGTGAGACCAAAGAAAGGATAAGATGAGGTGTCTGACTTCAAGAAGTTTCTAGTGTAGATCATAAGGGCATTAGGACTCATCATGGTATGCTATAGTGTTTGGGAATTTTTTCTAACAAAATTTTAAATGGGTGCTATATATCTATATATATATATACAACACCATACATATATATGTAGTTATATATATATATATAATATATAATTAGATACTTATACTATATAAATATAACAATAATATATATATTTATGTATATTAGATGTGCTCTGGTTGAAGCCAGAGCAAGGGGCCTTTCTTCCCCTCCCTCCTCTTTTGGCTCAGGGGCTCTTGAGGCACCACAGGATTCCAGTGCCCTTTGAAACAGGTTGAAAAGAACTGGCATCATTGAGAAAAAAGGACTTGACTTGATGTCAAAAAACCTCTCCAGAGTGTAAAGTCCTGTGCCCCCATTTACCAGCTATATTACCTTTGATCAGTTTTTCTAGCTCAGCATCAGTTTATTGATCTCTAAAATGTAGACAAAATAATGTCTAAATCTTAGAATTGTGGTAAAGACTAAATAAGATGATGGATGGAATCCACAAAAAGCCATTAATAGGACTAGGAGAAGTGCCCCTGAGACTAGAGCTAGTACGATTTGAGCCTAGCTAATCACAGCTACCTGGCAGCAGTCCACCTTAGAAGGTAGACTTTCGATTCAGAACCTGGAGACACGTATCATCAATCCCTCCATATTTCTGACATTTCTTGGTTTTATGATGCTTACCACATTGCTTTGAGGAAATCTTTAGGAAAATACAAGTCATCAGGAATTAAGATGAGTCTGGGGCGCCTGGGTGGCTCAGTCATTAAGCGTCTGCCTTCAGCTCAGGTCATGATCCCGGGGTCCTGGGATCGAGCCCCGCATCGGGCTCCCTGCTCCGAGGGAAGCCTGCTTCTCCCTCTGCCCCTCCCCCTGTTTGTGTTCCCTCTCTCGCTGTCTCTCTCCCTCTGTCAAAATATAAATAAAATGTGTAAGAAAAAAAAAAAAGGAAAAAGAAGGTTCAGCGTATTAAACAACAACAACTACTACTACTAGTACTCTCTCTTCTTCCTTAGACTCCGGTCGGAAGACTGTGA